CTTCCACTGAGCTGAAAGGTCAATCACGCCTGTAAGGCAATAAAGCCTGTATCGGCGACATTCCAGGGTCTAATCCAATGGACAGTAATACTGTGCCGGCTTTTCTCTCGGCTGGTCCAAAGTAAATTGCACGCATCGGGCCCAAACTAATCCAAATAAAAATTCAGTTCCTAAAGCTCGAGTTACCTCGCTAGATAACGCTAACTTCCTCTCTTGTCTTTTAGCAAATGATGCAACATATCACCCGGAGTAAGAGTCATGGCAGTTCAGCATAATCAGCTTACGTCCGAGAATCTTCCATGGCAACTGGCGACTGGTCTATGGACTGGCTCAGCGTGATTTGAGCACCGAGCCAGATTTGAAGACGTGTTCCGTTACCGAGCAGCTCATGCCCAGAGTAATATCCAGATTAGAGCCGAAATAAACGAACTTCTTATCGGTGGCTATTAGTGGAAATGTCAGACTAACCAGACCGACAGAGACCAGGGAGCCTCAGTGGCCGCGCGGGACTATCTTCCACCGGCACAACTTCACCCCTGAGGATGAAATGAATTCAACTGCTCCGAACTCCCATCTGCCTCTCTATCTCAGTCGCCAAAGTACGACAAAGGGAGTTCGACCCTCTGAGACTGCCAGAAGTCATCGGAGGCCATCCGAACTGGAGCCGAGCGCCGACACCTTCCGTTCGCTGACACGTGCCCCGGCGATTTAGGGGAGCGACTTCAGTAACCGACTGTCACCGCTGGAGATACATGGCTAGGATTGAGTGGCCCGGTGAGGGCAAGGATGACGTGCGACATTGGTGACAGTGCAGTAACTAAAACTACGAGGTTACTGATAACTCAATGACGCAAGCGACACATCAAATTACATAGCTGACGACAGAGCCGGACTCTCTCCAGCTGCTTTACAGACAAAAGGAGTTATTTCTTCGTCTCCGCGTTCCACTACGTCACTCGTGCAGTGTGCGGCTGGCCACCGCGGCCTCAGGCCAATCGCCTGGCCGTCAGGCGTGCGGGCCTCCTTCCGCGCTGCTGAAGATTCCATTCAGCGCGTGGGCGGCGGAGAGGAGCAGCGGTCGGCCGCCGCCTCAGACTTATTGCCTCTCACCGGCCGACAGGGGAGAGGGAGGGGAGAGGGAGAGATGGAGAAAGATGGACTGAGAGAGAGAGAGAGAGAGAGAGAGAGAGAGAGAGAGAGAGAGAGAGAGAGAGAGAGAGAGAGAGAGAGAGAGAGAGAGAGAGAGAGAGAGAGAGAGAGAGAGAGAGAGATGGAGAGAGACGGAGGGAGAGAGGGAGAGAGGAGAGAGGGAGAGAGGGAGAGAGGGAGAGAGAGGGAGAGAGAGAGGGGGGGGGGGGAGAGAGAGAGAGAGCGAGAGAGAGAGAGAGAGAGAGAGAGAGAGAGAGAGAGAGAGAGAGAGAGAGAGAGAGAGAGAGAGAGAGAGAGAGAGAGAGAGAGAGAGAAGTGAAATATACAGACATACAAAGATAGAGGAAGGGAGGAAAAGAGCAGTAGGGTGAAAAGCATGGAGGGCGAAAGAGACACAGAGAGAAGGAAGACAGAAAAGAGGAAAGAGAAAGAAAGTGATGTCGGGCACAGAGAGTCCGAGGCCCATCCTGATGAAGAGAAGGCGCCGCCGCCGGACTGGTGTCGCCGACTCGCGGCCAGCGGCGCAGAACGGTCGCCGGTACGGGAGGAGGAGGAGGCGTCAGCACCGGAACAGACGCAGGAAGGCCGGCGCAACAGCCCGCCACGGCGCCGGCGACGGGAAATGAGCCAGGAGCGCTGCGCGGCGCCGCCGGCCCGACACGCTATATCCGCGGGTGGGGGGGGGGGGGGGGGCATGGGTGGGTGGATGGCTGTGGTGCCTGTCTCAATGTCATCCGCCGTCTATCACGCAGGTAGGGGAGAGTGGGGTAATTTGGCCGGTGGTGTAAATTGGCCGCCCCCACCTGTACGGTGTCTAATAAAAGTGAGTGAAATAACTCTAGTCTCTATTCATTTGTCATGGGTAGAAATAACCGGAGGACAAATGTCAAAACTTTGCCCCTCGTACGTTTATTCAAAATTAATAAAACGTTAATTTCATTAGAAAATGGTAACTTTTACTTCTGTTTACAAAGTTGTATAACATGTAGTATTTGAGCTAAAAACGAATTTAGACATTATAGCGCCATTCTTGGGGGTGTTCAGCGGTTCCAAGAGCAATTTTATCTAATTCCGTAAAGCCGTGATGACTTTATAGACAAAAAATTTCAGAATGGCCATATGGGGTAATTTGGCCGGGACTAGCGGGGCAATTTGGCCGGTGCGCTCATGGTCACTATGCTGGGACGGCCGAGTTTTCATGGTCAATTGTACCATAAATGACATGATTCATGACCAACTTTGACTACTTTGATGCCTTACTTCCGATTGGTCAACTGTAAGAGCATGTGACGTCATCAAAGGTTACCAAACGTTTTTTGCTAATTAATCCTTACATAAAAATGGTACAGCCGCACAAATGGTCTCATTCTGTTCAGCTCGCCAAGGCGCATCGAATGATATACATGATGACCTTGAAATCACGTGACCTTGAGGTCAAGCGACCTGATGCAACGTGACCTGAGGTCAACCTTTGACCTTGACTTCTCAAGGTCAACACATACATCTTTCGATGCGGACTGACGAGATAATTACGATGGTACTCGAAGTTTTGGCCTAGCTTGATTACTTCAAAAGTTATTCGTAAAAAACTGTGATCGCATCTAGAGCCGCTAATTTGGCTATTTTGACCCCTGTGGCCCCTGAGCCAACCTCCAAAATGCGGCAAATGCGTCATAGGACACACGCCATTGCTGAATCTGAAGCTGACTCGCAATATAACAGAAAATGCCGACCGCAAACTAACACCGGCCAAATTGCCCCACACCCCCGGCCAAATAACCCTGCTAGTGGGGCAATTTGGCCGCCTTGCAGACCTTTGTAATACGTCACGATTTCAATATAAGTAATTACTCTATCATTTCAAGTTCACTGTCCAGTAAAGTAAAATGAATGCGACACCTGCCAGCGTTGAGAAAATGCAGAAATGTGTCGTCAATTTCAAGTTATATCGTTTTCTAAAAAAAAGCGGCCAAATTACCCCACTCTCCCCTACTGCGGTATAGCGTCCATTTAATTTGTTTATCGTTATTACGGAGCGAGCGAAGCGAGCGGAGTCTTTCCTTAGATTAACGGAAATTTCTGAGTATGAGCGGCCGGCCGGCCGGCCGGCCGGCCGTGCGGACGCTTTTGCGAGGCTTATATCTCAGCAACCACTTGACCGATTTACACGCGGTAATTTTTGTAGGGTAGCTTCATTCCTTCTACCAAGTATTGGACTATTCCCGATGCATATGGGTGAACCCTTTTGCGCGTGACACGTGCAAAACGAAGAGGTGTCAGTTTTGTAATTGTTGCAATATCTCGGTAACTCCTTGGCCGATTGCGCTGAAAGTTGGCATGTAGGTAGGCACCCACTAGGCACTGCATAGTGCATATCCATGTGCCAGAGTTGGGGTGCTGCTGCACGTGCGCACGTGCAGGGGTCGTTTCCAGATCTCGAGAACGGCTGGACCGATGGCGCTCAAATTTGGTACACGGTTAGGGACCAGTTAGTAGGGTGCCGTGCACAAGTCAGTTGGGACCCATTTTGCACGTGCGCACGTGCAGAGTGCCGCTCCCAGATCTCGAGAACGGCTGAGCCGATTGTGCTCAAATTTGGCACATCGCTAGAAACCGGTCAGTAGGGTGCCGTGCACAAGTCAGTTGGAGGTACCCCCTCGAAATTTCGCACGTGCAAGACTCACCCCCTCGCTCGCTCCGTTAGTCGCCCCAAAAGGCGCTATACTGGTTCGGTATTGCGATTCAGGAACATCCCCCCGTTCACCTTCTGTTTCACAGTCCTTCCAGTCTTCCCATACGCCACAGTCCGATCACAGTTGATCCACAGTTCTGTCCCATGTGTCCAATTCTGACGTCTGTGTCCTTTTTGTGTTTCCTGATACAGCCAGTCTGATATTCGCCCATTCGACCAGCCTGAGTCCGTAGCTCGCCAAATGGCAATATGTCTGTACACAGTCTGTCTACCGGTCGTCCACCACACCAACATACACCTACGACCCCTCCACTGTCCTGGGGAGCCGGACGTCATCCGCACGCGTCACCGGCCGTCATCCGCGCGCGTCATCGGGCGTCATCCGCCGGCGGGATGTCGCCATCGATTGGCCTACCAGCACCGACCTAACAGCGGGCAGCGGACACAGCGATGGATCGGCTGACGACTGCCGTACGCGCGGCACCGGCTAGTGACCAGCCTGGGCTCAACGCTAAGCCGAGGAAGTCGCAGAAAAGCTACAGAATAAAAACCAAATATAGTCACAGAGTGACGGTTATCCTGACAATCACGGATATCATCCGTCAGGGAATGCTAAAAAAAACTCCTGATACGGCTGCCAAGGACAAAAGTCATTTGACCGCACAACAGACTGCGGTCATATGTTGGTTGGATGCGAGTGAAACCATTCAGTTCAATCGAGAGTGGCGCACAAAACTAGCCTTCGGAGGTTTTTGAGCCCCTGTCTGTTGTCACAGTTACACCGGTAATGGGCTTAATCAACAGAGGGCTTAATCTCTGCCTTAATCAACAGGCAGAGAGGTAGCCTAAGAGTCCAGGCCTATTTCAAATAGCTGGACAGAGCCTGCGGGACGACTTTTCACGCATGTTTATCATGTTTAGCATGTTCTTATTGCATGAACGCTAATAATTCTGTGGAACACGTTCGTCGCTTACATGTGTGATGTAAAGTGTGCGCGCCCGGTGACTCTGACTTTAATGTTTAGTTGCCATAAAACGTTTCCATTCGATGCCTCCCCATATCGTCACTCCTCTTTCATTTAAACCACTTTATTACATCCTTTGCCATCCAATCCATTTCCGCACCGCCCCACCCCTCCCTCCCTTCCCCATCACTCACGGTTGGTGCGTTTCTGGATGAAGCGCAGTTTGGCGGCGCACCGGTACGACGCGAACCGGATGCCGTCGAACTCTGAGCGCACCTCCTGCAGGATAGCACGCGAGTCGGTCTGGCGCGAGCTGCATGAGGAACTCTGTTCGTCCGAGGCAGAGTCCATGTCCTCGCCTGCGCGAAGAGGGACAGAGAGGGCGGTCAGATGACCCACAGCCGCTAGAGGGGCACATCGGGTCAGGCGAAACCACTGAGACGGGATATGCAAAAGTCATAAATGCAGAGCAGATAACATTGAAAATGGTAATCACACTAGGGTTACGGTGATACTGTGCACAGTCAGGCACATTGTGACTAAACAGGAGATCAGTTTCTCATCTGATAAGCCAGCCTCATCTGACTGATGGAGCATTGCGCGGTTGATGCACTTAGACGTTTCCATTCCCACTACTGAGGAAGTGACATCGATACTTTGAACTTTCCGTCTTCGTCTATTCACGACTTATTCATTAGTATAATGTTCTCGGTAAAAACATAAAATAATGACATCTCGATGACGTCTCAGTGCCCACTGTCAGGATCAGGTCACCGCATACCATAAAGCGTCAGCCGTGTTGACTAAGTAGATGCACTCAGAACAGACTGTCAGGGACATGTCTGACAGCTGGACGTCTTTCAGCATCAGCGTCTCTACCCCAGCACACACATCGAGCGGTAACGAAGAGTCACGCATATCACGGCGCAGCGCTTCCCCTGCTTCTTATATTCTGCTCCAGCCCAGCCAAAGGAGTCCACTACTCTAAAAGTACGGTAATCACGCCCTCCACAGCGCCCCGATCAATGTCCGCGGGCGTTTTGTTCGCTGAAGGAGCCGGCCAGATCATGCATACGCCAATTGAGGTCGGTAATCGGAGTCGATAGCCGACCGGCGGCCACTAATAGCCGCCCATCAATGACCAGGAAACGGCGCCGCCGGCCGGTCGCATTAGCAAGGAGTAGCCGCGCGGCCGGCCGGAGGGGAGCACAGCGGCCGCCTCTCGGCCGAGGTAAGTGCTATTTCCATCGGCAGCCTGGTCGGTATGGATAAGGTAGGGTCGCCGTATCGTGGTGAAAACGTAATGACATGAGCTGAGTACCAGGGAAGCCTGCGCTATGTTGGTCAATATGGTGTGTGTCAGGATATACGGCACGCATATCTGTTGCGTCTTGTATGCGGGAGAGGATCGGTTGATGTCTACCTTCCATTGCAGGAGAAATGTGATAACGATATACAGAGTGTTTCACGTCATCCCATATCGCGATGCGCTGCATCACACAGAACATATCATAGCACACACCACCCATCATACCACACTCACATCAATGATCAACACATCACATTGACCCACGTCCGCGCATGTTGAGCTGTTCTACACAGCCCCGTGTTGCTCTATACCCTGGCGTGCTGCACCAGACAGCACCACACCACACCATTCGTGCGGCGGCGTGGTGTGGCGCGGTGCGCCAATTTATGCCACCATGAATCGGCGCGACCTTCCATTAGGGAGCGCTATCGCGGCGCGAGGCGGCGCCCGGGCGCCCCGGGTGGCTGGCCGGCACGGCAAACAATGGGCGCACCACGGCGGCACAAGGGCATAGAGAGACGACCGGAGAGGCATCCAGAGAGAAAACACGACCGTAATGAAGACCGCGCCGCAAAGGTCAGGGCGGCGCGCCGCCACAACACGGCACGCCACCGATACCCAGACATAATGCCGGAATCAATGGCTTATGGTGGGAAAATGATTGGGGAGAAAATGAAAGGATGATTACAGATGGCATGGGCCGGTGCCGTGACACCGTCCTATAAGGGTTAAGAGTGTAGGAGGGAGAAAGAGAGAGTGAGCGAGAGAGAGGGGGAGAGAGAGGGAGAGGGAGAGGGAGAGGGAGAGAGAGAGAGAGAGAGAGAGAGAGAGAGAGAGAGAGAGAGAGAGAGAGAGAGAGAGAGAGAGAGAGAGAGAGAGAGAGAGAGAGAGAGAGAGAAGAGGGAAGGGAAAGACCATTTAAAACGTTAGACTATTAAAAAAACACACTATTCAATAATTGCGAAGCATTTTAGATGTAGAGTCGCACAGACGAATGCAAAAAAAAAAAAAAAACGTTTAGCATTCGCAAATGATAAATAAGTCTGTTCACCATGTGCAACTGCACATTCTTTGAACTAATTTAACTGAACTATTAGCCCGGCAGGCGGTGGGCCTACCAGCCACCTTCCGCGCGGTGGGGGGGGGGGCATTTTTTGCCCCCCCCGTATCTCCGGAACTACTGGACGGATCCGGAAAATTCAAACGGCGTTCGATAGCCCTGTCAAATTTGTCGAGGGAAACCAAATTTCATTGACCTCGGGGTCACCGATGACGTCACAGGTCAGGTCAAAGATAAAATGTTTCACCGTTCACGGGGCTTCTAGGGAAAGCGCTATAACACCGAGTAAAACGCATTTTGTCGAAAATCAGCGATAAGGCATCAGTTGTCTAGTACATATGTTGCTATTAGAGGTCACTGGTCATACCAGGTCAGGTCACAGGTCAGGTCACCAAAGGTCACCAAGGGTCACCACATGAGTCCAACTTTACTAAGGTTATGCGATGCATGTTTTATGGCCAGTTTTTCATTTCCAACTCAATGGTGTTGGTTATAAGACCATCAGGTACGGTTTAGGTCACTTCCTGGTGGAGGTCAGGTCAAGGTCAGGGCAAAAAAGGTCAAATTTCAAAGTTGATATTTTTGCATAAAATGGGTATCGATTCGATGCAGCTCGTCACGGGGAGTCTAATGGTGGTCTTTGTTTTGCGCTACGAGGTCTAGAATTGCTAAAAATTGAGTTTGAAAATTTGACGTCATCAATTTTGAACAGTTTTTTCGCTATAACTTGGCCAAAAAAAGAGGTATCGATCTCAAATTTGGTATGTAGATAGAAGGCGGTAGGGACTATCACATATATTCCGGTTTTTCGAAATTCAAAAAACTTTTTGGATTTTTTGGCTATTATATCAAAAAATCTATTTTTTGATTTTTGGGGGTCAAAATCCAAAAAATTCGAAAAACCGAAATAGCAGTTTTGTAGCCCTTTTGATTCCACACCTTTAATGTTGAAACATTTTTCTGTATCTCTAAAGCTGTAGGCCTGACAGCTCTTCCCGCGAAACCTTTTTTGGGTCGAAAATGGCAAAAATGACGTCACTCTGACGTCATTAGCGGCCAACCTATCATAGCCTTTGGAATAAAATTTTGGTCACCATGTGCGCTAGCTGCTCCCGGGAGGGTACTGAAAGTTTGGTGACGATCGGCGCAGCGGTTCTCGAGATATATTGAAAAAACTAAAGGGGGGGGGGGCAAAAAATGCCCCCCCCCACCACCTGGAAGGTTAGGTTCTTATCTTGAAACATGCCTATAAACGGCGAGCAATTGGCTACATTTAGATATTGAGTTTTCCCAACGGCGCAAGCTGAGACTGGGCCTAATGGAGCTGTGTTTTGTATTGTAATGCCACAAAAGCTCCAGCGCTTCCAGCATCGCATTTCGTCATTGTTTAGGGTCTGTGGCCGTTATTTTACCAGTAATTTGTTCGATCACAGCCAAACAAAGCACTCTAGTCAGCAACTGGAACGCAGCGCTCATTCACCCAACGTTTCTTCTCTAAACAAAATTAATATCAGCATGGAATAGTCCTCCGACCACCTGTGTCAGGACCGAGAAAAGACATGCAAATTGCTCAGACTACGAGGGTAATAGATAGGTATATAGCTTGCATTGCACCACACCACATTTCCATGCCGAGCGCCGTTGCCGTCTGGAGTATTGGACCGTTTGCAATATCAGCTGTAATATCACTTTGGTCTTTGAAGTGTATATGCTGCTTCCGTATTCCCTTTAGTAAATTTATTTATTGCATGTGTCTCCGGCGACCACAGCTCCCGGAAGAGGGTTGCCCAAGACATTGCGTTACGAAGCACGGAAGAGATGAAAATGTGTGTATAAACCCTATTAAAGAAAAAAAAAAACGCTTGATATCCGGAGTTGCTCTCTCGTCATCAGAATGAACGGCTCCAATGAATTGTGTCACCAGGAATTATTTCTATAAATGTTTCTAGCAGAAGACATCTAAAAACTTAAACATGCAATAGAACTCAGTAAAAACACGGCCCTACGCATCATACGGTCGGTGCAAGCAGGTATGAATGGATATTAATCTACTAATTGGTAGTGAACACATCAAGTTGTTGAAAGTATCAGGCTTACTGAGTAGTGAATATCTCTTCAAAAGCGGCTGGGTAAACAGGCTCTAATTCCCCGGAGCGCCATCAAATCTGCATCGCCGCGAGCAGCGAGCTGGCGTGCGGGCCGCCGGTTACAGCGGCGTGTCAGCCGCCGGCTGCAGCGGCCTCGCGTGCACAGACCACAAACGTGCCCATACGTCACCCAGCACCATAAACACGTCAGTCCCGCCAAATAACAACAGCGGCCATTTCGGGAAGAGCTCAGCCCCGGCGAAAACGCACGTGCCTCACGGCTATCGTCTCCAACGAAAGACGCGCCCACGACGCATCCAGCATTCCTCCGCACTAATACCATTGATCTGCAATTATGCTGATGTGCTTCGATATGGGCCAAGAGTCGTGGCCAATAGCCATTGAGCCGGCTGGCGGCGAGGGCCGTTCGATGCCGCCGGCGACACTGTACGGCCGGGCCCCATTCTCAGTGCACATTGGCGACACCATACGGGCGGCCGGGCGGCGTCGCAAAGTCGCCGGCGGCCCACATCGGGCCCGCAGACGGGCCTGTTTGATCGTCGCCGGCGCAAATATGAGGAAGCGTTGCAAAACACGGCGCCGCGCCGCGCTCTATCGGCCGGGTAAACACGGGCCGTGTAGAGCGGGCGGGGGAGAGGGTCGGGGAGCGCGCGGGATCAGACCACTCACTGTACAGAGGGCAGATGAGATAGACAGGGACAAACATGGAAACAGGCAAAAAATGATATAGACAAAGACAGAATGATAGACACACAGCGAAACAAAGACAAACAGAGATGTGGGCAAAAAGGGAAATTTGCAAAATGAGGAACAAGTAGATCAATAGACAAATAAAGACAGGGCAGGCTGAATCAATAACGAACTAACAGAACCCTTAATGAA